GTTTATATAGTTCATGTTTCACTTAATTACCTTTGGAAGGCAGTCTCCTACTAAGTTTTAATTTATCAACAAAGTCCTATTTTTTCTTAACTTGTAAGCTTAGAAAAATATTGTTTGGCCATGTTTTATAAAATATGAGTTTTGGGTGAAATGTTAATGAAATTCAACAGCAATGATGTTGAGACATGATTAACAACTTTGCGTTTTTCATTTTAATGAAAAATTAAGAAAGATGATTGAATACTCGATTTTTTTTATTTTTATTTTTAAACAAAGAAGTGAAATGATCTTGATGTTATTCTCGAATAAATGGAAATTTTGAAATGACTGATAGTTTTACCCTCTATAGATTGATAGAATGTGGATGTGGGAAATGATACTGTTTTCTTTCGTGTCTGTTTGTTTATGATTGCAGACAACTTTAACATTTTCCATTACATTTTCATTGTAAGCTAGAACCTTCTTACATGTAATTAACATGTGGAAGGGGACATAGTGATATATGACCTTGAACTGTGTATGACAGGTTTCAATGTCAAATTTTCAAATTCAGTAAACCTCCTCATATTTTGTCCCTTTTAACATATTTGGGTCAAGTACATTTTAGTTTTATGACAACACCTTGTTTTACTTATTGTTCTTTGCTGTGGCCAAAGTATTTATTTTAAAAAAAAATGTTTGGGAAAAATTTGGTTCCATTGATTAAAAAAGAAACAACAAAAGCAAAAACAGAGTCCTTGAAAAACCATGCAAATGTACAATGTAAGATGTTTTGATCTTAATTTATTGCCAGTATGAAGTAATACTTACACAATGCCAATATTAATTTATTGCCAATATGATGTAATACTTACACTTTGCCCAAGACTTAGAACACAAACAAATCATTCCTGGCTAGCACATGCACACTTCTTTTCTACACATTTTTTTCAGTTATCAAGTCTTTTAAAAATAAATTGAGGAAAGGAAAAAATATCAGGTTTTTCTTGTTAATATTTTATTTAAGTGCTATTTTTTTCTTGAAATGAAGTATTAACCTATTGAATTAAAGAAATGACTTACTGTTATTACCATATATAACCAGGACATTTCTGCTTATTAATGCAGTTCTGAATAGTCTAAAATGTTTTGGCTGCTTAGATTTAGCATTTGGTTGTATGAAAATTCCTGAAGCTAAACAATGGACTTTTCCAAAATCCAAAGTTATTTAAGCTTAATATAAATAAAATAAAATGGAAATGTTTTAAGTAAAAGTAGGAATATTTGATATATATAAGATTACACTGTAAGTCTCTGAACTTAAAGAATGAACGAGCCCTCCATAATTATACCCCCGCACAACAAAGTTGTAAGGGGGGTATACTGGAATCAGCTTGTCCGTCCGTCCGTCCGGCCGTCCGTCCGGCCGTCCGTCCGGCTGTCCGTCGGTTTTTTCTTGTCCGCCCAATAACTTAAGATTCCTTTGACCCTTAGTCTTCATATTTGGCATGGAGGTTAGTCATGATTAGTAGATGACCCCTATTGATTTTGAGGTCACTAGGTCAAAGGTCAAGGTCACAGGGGCCTTGACTTCAAAAAGCTTGTCCGCCCAATAACTTAAGATTCCTTTGACCTACATTCGTCATATTTGGCATGGAGGTTAGTCATGATTAGTAGATGACCCCTATTGATTTTGAGGTCACTAGGTCAAAGGTCAAGGTCACAGGGGCCTTGACTTCAAAAAGCTTGTCCGCCCTATAACTTAAGATTCCTTTGACCTACAGTCGTCATATTTGGAATGGAGGTTAGTCATGATTAGTAGATGACCCCTATTGATTTTGAGGTCACCAGGTCAAAGGTCAAGGTCAAAGGGGCCTTGACTTCAAAAACGCTTGTCCGCCCAATAACTTAAGATTCCTTTGACCCACAGTCTTCATATTTGGCATGGAGGTTAGTCATGATCAGTAGATGACCCCTATTGATTTTGAGGTCACCAGGTCAAAGGTCAAGGTCACAGGGGCCTTGACTTCAAAAAGCTTGTCCGCCCTATACCTTAAGATTCCTTTGACCCATAGTCTTGATATTTGGCATGGAGGTTTGTCATGATTAGTAGATGACCCCTATTGATTTTGAGGTCACCAGGTCAAAGGTCAAGGTCACAGGGGCCTTGACTCCAAAAAGCTTGTCCGCCCAATAACTTAAGATTCCTTTGACCCACAGTCTTCATATTTGGAATGGAGGTTAGTCATGATTAGTAGATGACCCCTATTGATTTTGAGGTCAAAGGTCAAAGTCACAGGGACTTTGACTTCAAAAAGTTTGTCTGCCCAATAACTTTAGATTCCTTTGACCCACAGTCTTCATATTTGGCATTGATGTTGATCATGATTAGTAGATGACCCCTTTTGATTTTGAGGTCACTGGGTCAAAGGTCAAGGTCATAGGGACTTTGACTTCAAAAAGTTTGTCCACCCATTAACTTAAGATTCCTTTGACCCACAGTCTTCATATTTGGCATGGATGTTGATCATGACTATAAGGTGACCCATATTGATTTTGAGGTCACTGGGTCAAAGGTCAAGGTCACAGGGACCTTGACAAAAAAAAGCTTTTCTTCTCAACTGTTAAAGAATGTCCTGTCCGCAATGTATTGATTTTGACATTTTCACATTTGAAGCATGTAGAATACATAACTTAGCAATGCACTGGCTTAGTAACCTCAGATTTGGCAGGGAGGTTGTCCTTGAGCTCTAAATGGCCACCGTTGATTCTGACAAAGTGGTATGCGGGGGTATTCACGCCATGATAGTGGCAGTTCTAGTTCAATTTAAGAAATACACTTCAGCCTCATTAAAACGCTCATGTTGGGGTCCAATGTCTCAACACCGCGTTCTAACGAGGCTCTCATTAGAACGCTCATTGCGAAATTACTGCATTACCCCACCCACTGCATATATATTTAACGCTGATTTTTTTACTTACTGTTCAATGAATATCGACATTATCTTTTTCTAAAACCATTCAATGATGTAAACATATATTATATTCACAAATAATACTAATTATATTTAAAAGAAAGGAAAAACTTTCGAAAGAAAATTATAAATCATGAATGTAGTGTAAAACAGGTAGCCATTACTGGCATGCGAGCAGTTCCCGTACAGAAGCAGTACCCGTATTTTTCATTTAAACGCTTGATTTTTACTTGCAATCTTCAAAAATTCATTTCAAATCAAGCAGATGCATAAAAGAGACAAAATCTAAGTGTCAGTTCGGCAGTACGTATAAAAGCCTCATTTTAAATCACTTTCACCTGTGCGTTGTCAAAACGTGACCTTGTTTTCTCTGGGGGATTCCGTCCTTGTGCGCATGCGCTAAAATATTTACACGTGAGGCATGTTAAAGGGTTTTCCACTAATACCACCTGTTTACAGAAAAGTAGGCAATGTTATGAAAACTTGTTTAATTATCAGAATTTTGATCAATATTACTATATTAAATAATTTTATGGCTTTGATGCGTAAAATATCATGCATTCAAGCATGCCATTGTATGAGAATGCGTTGGGGTAACGGTACCGGGTAATAGATACCCGCGTTAAGTCTACGCTCTTTTTCCTGAATTACATCTATTTATCTTTTAGAAAATGGTCTGTTCAACAATTATAATTGAAAAATAGGTCCGATATAACAAAATTGTATAATTATAATGGGTTAAATTTTATGTACGGGAACTACTTCTCTTCATACAAAATAATGGATAATTCAGGTACCCCATATGAGGCCTCATAACTAAGGGTTATTCTATGTTTAGAACATGATGGAATTTCCATGATTTGTGTGACGAGCCGAATATTGATGTGTAATGTTCAAATTTTGGTGAGTGAGCGTAATAAAAAATAATGTTTAAGTAACTACGATTTTTGTACGGGAACTGCTCGCATGCCAGTACTGTAATGACGTTTTATTAACTAGGGGACACAACTAAAGCTGGACTGTAAATGACACTGTAATTTACAGTCCAGCTTTAGTTGTGTCCCCTAGTAAATCAAACGCCAATTACCACCTGTCATGGCCGCTCTATTTACAGTGCAGGATTATAAATTGATTTTGGGCTTGTGGGTTATTTAATTCAGCGAGGTTTACATGTCAAATATATGTGTGTGAATTTTAGTTTATTTATACTCACCACCGAATGCCAATGTAACAGTTATGATATGAATTTGAGATTTTGGAAACAATTTGATGCATGACTGATGGACAGGTAAAACAACAAAAGAGCAAATAAACGCTTACCTGGGCATGTTTTTCACACCTTTGGCGATCATAAATGTCCTAATAACAATGGTTTATTGTACTTGGCTATCAAATTGAGCAAGCGTTATAGCGCGCTATAAATCTAAGTCTACTTAAAAAAAAATTTTTTTTTTTTTTGGGGGGGGGAGTTTTTTTTTTGTTTTTTTTTTGGGGAGCCAAGGTCTATGAGCGCTCTACTGAGATTAGCGTTATAGTGAAGAGCGAGTTATCGAGTTTATCTAGTTTTTTTTTCTTCAGATTTAACACACTCCATTTGTAGTCTTTAACATGAGATTTCTTGTCTGACAGTTAACAGCTTTAGTTATTATGATCTGTATAAATACACAAATTTACTAGAACTTTTAGTCTAAAGTACATATCTACTAAGATTTCTAAGATCTTAATTCAATTTCTTTTTATTAAGTGACAATATCTCGCTTTAAACTATTTATGTTTGTAATACAGTATGTTTATCTTAGATAAAAATGAATGTATTTTCTTCAAAGGTGAATTTAATTTTTTTTAGGGTACGACGAATTTAAGATAAAGGAAGAAAAAATAATTATAGTTGTAGGGTTTAATGATAAACTGTTTTATAATTGATGAATTTATGATCTTTTTTGTTCTGAGATTCACTAAAGTTTGTACGGGTAAACAATTTAAAAAATGTGCTAATATATAGTCCTGTTTTTGAGTGTTTGAATGTTTGTTTTTTTACATGAACAGAGAGCGCTCCTCCAAGTCATCCGTCGTTTATGTCTCAGATAGACCGTCTTTGTGAGGCCGAGCGCCACAGTGTGCACGTGCAATTCTGTGAACCGGAGACAAAGGAAATTGCTATAGAAGCGGAGATAAGCAGTTGTTCCCGATGTGTACGTTGTAGGTGCCTGTTGTATGATGAAGAGATCATGGCAGGTTGGAGTGCTGATGATTCTAATTTAAATACAAGGTACAGAAATTCTGTGTTACTTTAAGATGCTACACATTCTTCCTACAGGACAGTCATCAATTATAATTTTATGTGTTATACCAAATATATTCATTTAGAGACATTCACACTAACAGTAAATAAATCAATTTACTGGAAGTTGCACAGTGGCCTCCCCTCATCTGCTATTTATATGTTGCAGTAGAAATCTATTGAAGTTGTCACTTGCAGAGAAATAAGTAACTGGTTGGTTATACACGAAAGCCTGTTAGGTGTACCAACAACTGATATATGACCAAAATTTGTGTTAAAATTGATGTAAAACTAAACAAACAAACAAACAGCTATGATGGCTTTCTGTGCTTAAAATAATGAGTCACCTGAGGTATTCCTCTGCAAATAAGCTAGAAATTTACATTGTAAGCTTTAAATTATAGGGTTTGTGTAAATTATTCACCAGCCAGAAACATAAAATATTCACAACTATTTTATCATCATTCAATACATTGAAGCAGCAGGTTCCCATGAAAATATGTTGATACAGTATCTACTTATGATGTATAATAATTTATTGTAAAAATCTTCACTTTTACCTTTCAGTTGCCAGTTCTGTAATGCAAAGATGGTTCCCCATTTACTCATTTATATTAAGGTAATCATTTGCATAAATGTTTTGATTAATTAGAGGGTAAATCTGGATGTTATCTTGATGTATTGTTAAAATCTCAGCATTTCCCTGAAGTTGTAGGTAATAGGTGCCATTTGTTAGGGTTTTGTTTTTCAGAATGTAAATTACAGACTACTATAAATGCAAAACAGGTCAAGTTCAACATTTTGAACAAATCCCCAAAAAGTTATATATATATTTATATAGTAAGAGGAGTCAATAGTTGTGATATTTGAAAATAGTTTATAATTTTTGTTATGCTATCCCATATCATTTGATTACTCTGGATTTGTATATTTATTTACTCAAAAAATTTTTTTAGTATTATTTCATTGAATATTCTATATAAAATGTTTTTTCATACAGATTTGTCAATTTTAAGTATTTTCATTTTAATCCCCTTCAGGACCATCGCGGAAAGACAAGAACAAAAGTGTCAGATAATGATACAGAGGATGGTCTTATACAGTTTGATGACAATCCTGCCATCTCTCATTCACAAATGGAGTGCTCGTACGGAAAAGACAGTAATATTTGTCCATCCACCGAGCCACAGTTAATGTTTAATGATGATATAGATGATGACAGTCCAGTGAAGAGTCCTGCATCACTTCATGACCCTTGGATGCGCCAGTCCACACACATTCCATCAGAACCAACTGATATTCCATCTAAATCAGTGTCACATGATTCACCAAATCTGTCAGATATGGCACGGTTAGGTCATAGACGTACAGGAAGTGAGTGTCTCACAAGCGCAACAGAGTTCATGTTTAGTTCCTCAATAGACTCTGTGGAGAGTTTAACATTCCGTAACTTCAGATCTCCGCTCAGTATTTCTATAGATTCTGAGTCACTGTCGGGGCATCCTTCACTTTCACCAGAGGCCAGAAGAGCTGCTAAGAATGGGTAGGTGATGATTATGACATTTAAAACTTGTGATATTTTCATTGATTTTAGCTCTTTTAGTTATACCTACCTGGAAGCTTTTTAAATCAATTGAATCAAGAAAGTTCTATATTAAGCCAAATTGAGGCCCTAATGGCCAAATGGAGTAGTCTGTAATTGTCCATATTTGGTTGGTTGAACCCTTTTTGGTAAGTTTTTTATGAGGAAGCTATTGTGTTAGGTTATAGAAGATCCATAGTTCTACAGGTGCCTACTTTTGCCTGAGACAACAATCAGAAAAGCGTCTAAGATATTTATGCTCCTAAAAACATTTGAGGTGGATATAGTTGCTTCGTCCTTCAGTAATTCTGCTGTTCTGTTAGGTTTTTATAACTGTTTCCCATATCAACATCATTAACGTAATGCGTTTGCGACCAGCATGGATCCAGACCAGCTTGCGCCTCCGCGCAGTCTGATCAGGACCCATGCTGTTGGCTTACAAACCCTATTACAAGTAGAGAAACTGATAGCGAACAGCATGGATCCTGATCAGACTGAGCGGAGGCAGATTTTTAGGGTATGGATAAAAAAGCAATTTCAGGGAGCATCAGTTGCCTTTAACAATATGTCTTATTTTTATTGGATCATTGAATCTGGAGTTATCTTAAGAAGATAACTGTTTTTACAAGTCTTTGTGACTGAAAACTTGACCAAATCAGTACAAAAATAAAATATTAAAAAAGCAACCATTTTATATAGAATTTAAGTTAATTGATTTAGCAATTGATTACAATTCTTTTTTATTAAAAGCTGTTTATATGGTGTATATTTCAGTAATAATAACATCATTTATCCATGTATTTGTTTCCTTCAGTGTGATATCTTCAATGGAGCCTGTTTCTGTACCATATTTGAGTCCCCTCGTGTTGAGGAAGAATCTGGAAAGTATCATGGAGAGCGAGGGAAATACTGCCCTCACCTTGGACACCTTTGTTGATGAACACCCTATCATCTTTTGGAATCTGGTACAATATACTGCTATATGCCACTCAATATTATTTAAAGAAGTTTCCAGGAGTAGTACAAATTTTTGCAAAGGCAACAAAAGATATTTTAAACATGTTCAGAAAATTTACTTAAACATTGCATTATTAAGGGAAGTCATGATTAAAACAATGTCACCATCCTTATTGAGTAATCTGCCCATTAAAGTTAGTTTTTATCTCTTTAAGGTCACTTTCCCATCTTTGTAAAAAAAATTCATGACCAGAAAAATTATTAATTTTCTTTTAGGGTTACCTTTAAACTGCTATTTTATTATGTAATGGAATTGTTTTTGACCTAAAATTCCAACTTAAATTGATTTAAGGGATTTTGAAGTCAGTATATCTGTGTCCTTACATATCTAGCTGGGACATCCGTGTCTTTTAGACACATTCCAACATTTCTAGTTTCTGTTATCAATCTATAAGATCATGCAAAGTTTATATCAATTCTCTTATGTAGTTTTCAATATGCTATGTGTCTACATGTAACCCTGGCCATGACCCATGTATGATGAGCATTATAGTGAGGTTATAGTGTTATAACAGGGTGTTATATAATGGGGAATCAGTGTATGACTTATATGAAAGTTTTAACTGATTTGATTGTTTTTTAGGTATGGTACTTCAAAAGAATATCAGCAACAAGTCATTTACCGGGCCTCTTGTTGACAGCAAAATCGTTCAACTCATCTGGAGTAAGTATTTTGTTTGACCTTTTTACTTGTTTTGTTATTCATATTGATTTTTGAACTATACATTGCATCTGAGTGTTTTTGATTTAATATCTGTGGGTGTTATAAATATTTTATAACTAAAGTTACAAAACAACAAGACAGTAGGAGATGGTTAGCATTTTACTACTTGCAAATATCACTTACCACTCTCTTAACACACATCTTGTACGCTATTGATTTATAAGCTATAATAAAAGAGCAATCCAAAGAATTGAAATATTTTTATTAAAAAAAAAAACAATTAATGACACTCCAGGCGAGCATTTCACTAATATTCTGTAAGTTTAGCGTAATACTATCTTTTTACGTAAATTTGGACTTACACAAAACATAAATTTACTCTAGTTGTGTTTCACTAAACAGAACATGCAATTTATGCCAGCAATAAGTGAGCGTAACTTTACGTTTAAACAATTGCGTAGCTAAGAAAGGTTAGTGAAACGCAAATAAATACTTCAGTTCTGCTTACGCAAATAGTTACGTTCAAACTCGGGTAACGATATCATAAGTACGTTAGTGACATGCACCCCAGTAATGTAAAATCATTAAAAAGTAATGATATATATTAGATCATAATGATAAATAATGATTTTTATAATTGAATTGTACCTTTAAATAAACATATTTTAAAGCACATTTTTATAGTTCTAATTAGAGAGGCATAAAATATGCAAGCCCCCGGGATGTTAAATGGAAACAATACAGTATTTAAAGATTGTCTCAACGGAATATCGTCTTGGTACAAACATATAGATGAAAAACTTTGGAGATAATTAAGAAATATACTCCGGATCAAACTGAAAGTCTATATTTCATGTCCTTATTTGAGTTAAAATTGAAAGATAAAAGAGATTATTCTTTAAAAAAAAATTAAAACAAGGGAATGATCTTAAAGTTGGCCCTCAAGATATATTATTTCAAGTCTGTGCATGTCAAAAAAAAATCAGTAGAGTTTACAAATATAATTTATTTTATAAATTAAATTTTCTTTGAAATGGTGTATTTAACAAGAAAGTGTGTTGGACCCCTACCTCCAAGGTGTCACTTGGTGATTAAAGGTCAACATTGTCTGTTTTAGGGTACATGTTGTGTCCAGTCCATAACTTTTTTATAGATCATGGGATTTTGAAATTACTTGGCACAAATGTTCACAATGATACGATGATGTGTCATGTGTAATACCCGGATCCCTACCTCCAAGGTCAAGGTCACACTTGGAGGTCAAAGCTTAACATGGTCTGTTATTTTGTGTCTAGTCTGCCATCAAGGGATTTTGAAAATACTTGGCACAATAATAAGACGATGTGTTATGAGCAACATCCATACCTATATTTCAGTTGACACATACAAAGGAGTTATTTCATTTTGTTTCTTTTATGAATTTATTGTTGCATGTGTAGTCCTAGCAATGATAAAGATTTTGTTCTGAAAGTCCAGATCCATACCTCAATCTTTTGAAAAAGCTCAATTTTGTTCTTCATGTAAAATTTCCTTTAGGTGGTGGAAATGGGTAACTCTTACAAATTCTTGTTATTTTCTGGAAGTAGTCTATATGGGTAACAGGCTCAGCTATGAATAAACACCTGGCTAAAAGTGCACTTGATAATCTATCTGCATCTGTTCTAGAGAGTTGTGCCCCTTTAATAGATGAATGCTTCAATTCAATTGACTTGAAAGAGGTATCCCCAAATGGTGAAGATACTGTTTAGATTGCAGTTGGTTGAGTTGTCAAATAAGTAGCAGTAAAGTATTGAAATAATGTTGTAAAAGTCACATTAAAATGTTGTCAGTAATAGGATATTAATATTAAGGTACTACAACGAGAAATCACGAACAAAATTGTATAACTTTGTTAGATTAAAATATAATTGTTAAAGCTATTTGGGTAAAATTGTATAGTTTTTGTTTGATTAAAATATAATTGAGCCGCGTCACGACAAAACCAACATAATGGGTTTGCGACCAGCATGGATCCAGACCAGCCTGCGCATCCGCGCAGTCTGATTAGGATCCATGCTGTTCGCTATCCGTTTCTCTACTTGTAATTGGGTTTGTAAGCCAACAGCATGGATCCTGGATCCATGCTGGTCGCAAACGCACTATGTTGGTTTTGTATTGACGCGGCTTAATTGGTGAAAATTGCAATGTCTGACTTGCAGGTGCAGGACAATGGTGACCACGGTAGTGATAACGTGGTGATACGACCAATGTGGGACAACCCACGTATACACCAGGAGGTCGGACTTCCCATGCATATGGCATGGAATAAATGTCGAAGTTCAACAACAGTGGATGCTTTGCTGACAGAAGCTCAACCATTCAACAGAGCGTATGTGTCTTTTTATTTTAGCAAGTTGTAATTGATATAGTTGTGCTGTAAGTCTCATTTGTAAAGTGGATCTACAATCTTGTATGTTAGAGGTATTGTTAGGAAATAAAGTTACATATAGTTGTACAGCTACATATGAGGAATTTTAATTCCATGTCTTTTTATATGCCGGAAAATGTTTCATTGTATTATGTTATGCGCCTGGTTGTCTGTCTGTCTTTTAGCAGTTTCGTGTTCGATCCGTATCTTTGAACCAGTGGAAGGAGATTGAAACTACTTGGCAGAAATATTGACCATAATGAGACAATGTGCAGAGGGCAGATTTGACCTTTCTCAGGTCAAGGTCACACTGGTAGTTAATACGAAAACACATTTGTTAAGTCTTATTTTGATGATACTACTAACTATCTCTACCAGGCTTAAGATATGTATTCAATATTTTCTCTACTTGGACATTAAATTTTGACATTGAGATTTTTTCCTGTACCTTGTCATTAAATATAAATATATTTTCTCTCCCCAGCATAAGATATGTTTACAATATTTTCTCTCACAGGGTTTTGCATCAGATCATAACAAACATACAGTGTAATGATGTTCTAAGTCCTATAAAAATGGTGATGAATGGTAGACGAAGATTACGACCAAGACGAAAACGATTCCGCAGTCTATACAGGGAAATACTGTTTCTTGCATTCATAGCCTGTGGAAGGGAAAACATAGACAATGGTAGTATTTTGTGAAGTAATACTTAAAATTATAAAAGTAATACTTAAAATTATAAAAGTAATACTTCAAATTATAAAAAGCTTTCTAGACAATATTTTCTTCAGAAAAATATTAGTACCAGGTAGTAAATGTTTTGAATTTACTAGTAATTACATATCATTAGTGGTTCAAGTTCAGTTTCCATGATATTGTTAGCAAAAGGTTGATAGTTCTAAAAAGGTATCAAATCTTACCTAACATGGCAGTGTTGATATCACTAAACTTTCCCAAAGTCCCTTCAAAATCGTTTCTAGATTTATTGTAAACAGAATTACAACTGTTTGATAATTGTCACATTGAATTATGTCTATTTTCAGATGCCTTTGATAGAGAATATAAGATGGCATTTTCACGTTTATCACCGGGAGAAATGAAAAGATTGCAACGGGATGATAAACCAAGGACTGCTTCAGTCCAGTGTTGTAGAAGAGTTTTCCTAGAGCTCTTGTTATGAAATTACCAAAATCAATCAAACTGGCAATATTGACTTGATAATAACCAGGTTAAGATAAGCAGAGTTGAAATCCTAAAGTATCAACCATGTATATGTTACAAAAATATATGCTGTGTAGTTATGTTACACAAATATATGCTGTGTAGTTATGTTACACAAATATATGCTGTGTAGTTATGATACACAAGCATGAATACATATTAATATGTGTAGATATGACATAAATGATGTGAAGATATACTACACGTGTATGACAGCTTACAGTATGTTGTATAGTTTTTACTACACAAACATGATTGAATATATTAAGACATTTTGATCATGGCAGAGAAAGATTTATTTAACTGAGAAAGAGGAAAAATTACTCAGGAGTAAAGATATTATGTGAAGAATTATTTGACTTTGAGGATTTTTTTGTTCCAACAGGAATTGTTTAATGTTTGCTGTTAAGGGTATATATGTTTTGTGTTTATGTAATGGATCTAATTTGTTATGTGTATCTGGGTACAAGATAAATTAACTTGTATAGTTAATACAGAACAATAGATTGGTTTATTTATTTCCTTGCTGTTTGCTGATACATTACCTATAAAGTCCATGTCATATCTCGTATAATTGTTCATAAAGATATGTTAGTTAATTTATATATACAATGTACACATATTGCTTTGCTTTAAATGTTAAGAAACGGTTTTAGATAGGATAAAATGGTATTGTTAACGATAAAGTGCATGAAACATTAATATATTGGTGCAAATCCACTATTTTAATGATCTCACTTTAAGGAAATTATTGACTGATGATGTTATAAATTGATAGACTAGACTTGGTTTAAATTGTTATATTTGTCATTGTTTTACAGTGTGGGTTTTTTCTGTTTTCTATTTTTGTTCAGGTTTTGTGAAATTAACTTCATATTTAGTAACAAGATATTTATTGAAGTAATAAAATGTTTCAAGCAAGAAGCATTGTATTGTTATTTTCATAAATTGTGTAAATATTTGTGGAACATGAACAAATTGGAATTCTGTTTAAACTTGTATTATAAATCGTTCAGCTTGGTATATGATAAGAACATGACACAGAATAGTTGGTTCATAAAATGTGCGGTTAGCTCAATAGGTAGAGCGTTTGACTGTGAATCGGGCAACTCTGGTTCAATTCCCAGATGGTGCAGGACAATTTCATTGTGATTGATAATGAAGTCCTTACTACGGTCATTCACACTGTACATCTGCTCTGGCATTTAAAGAAGTTATCAGTTCCTTGCGAAAGTGAAGACAACTAGAACTGGTACTCTAGACTGCTTGGCAGCCTGCCCAGGAACGATGCCGTGTCTGAACTTAGCTCTGGTGAGTTCAATGTGGCTTACTGCCATGCTCCGAGATACGGAGGGTAAACTACCAACACCTCCACATATAGTTGATTCTGTGACTGTTTTATTTGTTGTGTTGATGATTAACGTGATGTCATTTGAAATGTTTTATGTGAATACATTTGCATTGATACTCTATGTACTTATTTTTGTGTGTTTTTGTTTTGTGTAAATATACATGTATATATTGTGTGTAACCTGCTGGTTATATAAAGTTAACATTAAGTTGTGTTAATAGAATATTTAAGTGCAATATAACTACATTAAAGTTACTACAGCTTGTTCTTGCGTACAGGTGGAGATATTTAATTGTTAAAGTCACTGATGCATGACTACATAGAAATATTTATTAAAATCGCTAACACATTTAGACAGAATTAATTGAATTTAATTGTAAAAACCTCTTACATGTGCACAGATAATGATTAATATCAACATTTAATATCTTTCTCATGTGTTAAGATTTCACTATTAATGTTGGGTACAACCGCATGTAAAGTAGATTTTAGGCAATGTATGGAATTACCAAAGATACAAAAAAAAGTCCAAAATCAAGTTAAACTCTTCATGATAAACATAGAAAGGAAGATGTTTGGCATTTAATGTTAATATATTAATAGCAAATTTTTTACATATAAAATGCATTTTGTCACATAAATTTCAACTATGAAAATTCACCGCTCTACCAAAAGACAGTCACTTTGGTTGTGGAGTTCCAAATGCCTTCAATTCCTAATAAAATGTATAATTATATATACACATTATAGATATTGAAATATGATTTATTTTCAAAACAGTTAAATTAAGGTTTTACACATATTCTATATAATAATTTAACCACTGATGTGTAATTCTTTCCTTAAATGACAGTTTATTTAAAAGAAAATGTTTATTTTGGTATATCTCGGTAGAGCTTAGGGATTGTATTTTTGTTGTTGTCCCCCTCCCCCCCCAGAGTATCAAGTCATCTTTTGGTATCTGTCAGGTCAGTATTTCTGTATCTTTTGGTAGTTCCATACACCTGATATCAGATGCAAAATTTAAGTTATATAGAATGTTGAAATAACTGTCAATGTTGAATGTAGAGATATAATTGTTGATTTCAATTTAATTTTATGTAGCAATGGTTCTTGGGGCTTTTTGTTTCACTCCTTGAATTTAAAACCTAGGAATAGTCAGTTGCTTTGAACAGTGAGAATATCAAATGTAAATAAAGTCTAGTTGGGCTGATTTTTGTTTACGTTTGTTTGGTTTTATTTTTGTTTTTGTTTAATATTGCTATCAATGTGTAATAACAGTATGTTTGTACAAATATATTATCTTTAAGGTTTTGCTAATGAATTAATAACATTCCATAAACAATAAAACCAGTAACATATGTTTTAATGTTTACCGGTACAGCTTTATCAGCTGGCAGGGAGGCATCAGAAATTTGTATTATATTAAAGGAGCTCCTCTGATGTCAACTAGCCTAAAACACATAAATTTGAAAATATTACAGAGATCAGGTTAGGCACTTGTAAATGAAAAATAATAATTAGAAATTGATTTTCAGTGCACTTCTTAGCTCAATTAAGAGTTAAAAGTATTTAAAGACTTCTCATTTTTAGATTAATTTTCACAATTATAAAAGATAAATGGAAAATAGATTGAGCAAATGAAGTGAAATTTTGCACACATGTTACTGGTATAAAACTTCATCAAATGGTGAAGAATGTCCAGTCCTATCACATCAGAAAAATCTCAGTGAAGTCCCTTTAATTGATACCAGTTTTTCCCAACTGCACTGTAACATAGACAATAAATTTTGCTTCTTTTGCTACATCTTTTGTATTTAAATATATCACATCCTGACTTTTGATTTTATGCATGTAATTTTGACCTTATTTTGTTCACAATAGTTCACAGTATTCAGTCAGTACCCTGCTAGAATCAATCATTATAAGATTTTGCTATCAGTACCTGTATAAAACAAGGGCAGTTGACCAGGAACTATACTGTTGGTTGACCAGTTCAAATTATCATCTTGATATATCCCTAATATTGATATTTGACAGTTTCAAAAAAATATAAGCTGGACAAGTCAATTTAAAGATATTCAGCAAGTTAAGTGTTAATAGGGAGCTTACTAAAGTCAAGGTTTGAGACTATATGTATTTCCATCCTTCAACATATATAATTATAATCTATGTATACTTTACATGAAATTGTGACTTAAGATATTTTTACTAAAACTTAACTGTCAGTATACAATCTGGTCTAATTGTCTAGATGGCCGGGCTGGCAGTATCATAACTAGCTTTAAAAGTGTTAAATTTTAATTAAATTTTTGTATAAAATTTGTGTGTGTGTTTTTTAGCTCGACTATACGAAGTATATGGAGAGCTGTCCTACTCGCCCCGGCGTCGGCGTCCGCGTCCAGATTTTAGATTAAAGTTTTGGTGCAGTAAAATATTTTTAACTATAACTTTGTCATTTCTTAAGGTATCAACTTCAAACTTCAAATATATCTTCCTTATCATCAACCACAGCTTACGTGACAAGGTTCATAACTCTAGCACCAATATTTTCAGATTTATCTCCCCTTGAACTTAGAATTTTCCTTAAAAAATACTATTTTTTACTGTTACTTCTTTATTTCTTAAGGGATCAACCTCATACTTCAAATATATGTACCTTATCAACATTCTCATCTTATGGGACAAGGTTCATAACTCTAGCACCAATATTTTCAGATTTATCTCCCCTTGAACTTAGAATTTTCCTCAAAAAATGCTATTTCTTACAGTGTTTAACTTCTTTATTTCTTAAGGGATTAACCTCATACTTCAAATATATTTACGTTATCATCATCCCCATCTTATGTGACAAGGTTCATAACTCTAGCACCAATATTTTCAGATTTATCTCCCTTTGAACTTAGAATTTTCCATAAAAAAATATTATTTTTTACTGTTACTTATTTATTTCTAAAGGGATCAACTTCATACTTCAAATATATTTACGTTATCATCATCCACATCTTATGTGACAAGGGTCATAACTCTAGCACCAATATTGCAAGAATTATCTCCCCATAAACTTATATTTTTTTACTAGAAAAATGTTATTTTTTATTATAACTTTTTTATTTTTAAAGGTATCTACCTCAAACTTCAAATACTTATTCCTTATCATCAATTACATTTTATGTGACAATGTTCATAACTCTTGAAGCAATATTTACAGATTTATCTCTCTTTGAACTTAGGATTTTCTTTAAGAAATATAATAACTTCTTTACTTTTTAAGGTATCTACTTCAAACTTCAAACATATATTTCTTATCATTACACAAATGTTGTGTGACAAGGTCCATAACTCTAGCATGACTATTTCTAGAATTATTCCCCTTGATCTTGGAATTTATGTTAACAAATGTTATTTTTATGCCCCAGCCATGTAATGGCCGGGGCATATAGTGTTACCCTGTTCCGTCATTCCGTCCTTCCGTCATTCTGTCATTCCGTCATCATCAGTTTCCGTTCATTATCTTAAGAACGGTTGCACACATTCAACTCAAATTTGACATATGAATATGTCATGACAAAATACAGGTCAAGTTCGAATTTGGTCATGGTTCGATGATTTTTGACAGAGTCATGCCCCTTTTACTTTGAAAATAATATGAAATTTTCAGTTTCCGTTCATTATCTACCCAACAGTACAACACATTCAACTCAAACTTGACATATGGATATGCAGTGACAAAATACAGGTCAAGTTCGAATTTGGTCATGGTTCGATGATTTTTGGCAGAGTTATGCCCCTTTTACTTTGAAAATAATATGAAATTTTCAGTTTCCGTTCATTATCTCCCCAACGGTACAACACATTCAACTCAAACTTGACATATGGGTATGTCATTAAAAAATACAGGCCAAGTTCGAATTTGGTCATGGTTCGATGATTTTTGGCAGAGTTATGCCTCTTTTACTTTGAAAATAATGTGAAATTTTCAGTTTCCGTTCATTATCTCCCCAACGGTACAACACATTCAACTCAAACTTGACATATGGATGCGTCAAAAGAATGCGCAGGTCCATGTTCAAATTTGGTCATGGTTCAATGATTTTTGGCAGAGTTATGCCCCTTTCACTTTGAAAGTAATATGAAATTTTCAGTTTCCGTTTATTATCTCCCCAACAGTACAACACATTCAACTCAAATTTGACAAATGGATATGTTTTTGGAATGCCCAGGCCAAGTTGGAATTTGGTCATGGTCAATGATTTTTGGCAGAGTTATGCCCCTTTCACTTTGAAAATAATATGAAATTTACAGTTTCTGTTCATTATCTACCCAACAGTGTTACATATTCAACTTTAATTTGACATATGGATATGTCAAAGGAATGGGCAGGTCAAGTTGAAATTTGGTCATGGTTTGATGATTATTTTATGCAGAGTTATGTCCCTTTCACTTTGAAAATAATATAGATACATCTTAGGAATAAGCAGTTTAAGTATGAATTTGGTTGTGGTTCAATGATTTTAGACAAACTCATCTTTCCTGAATGTTGGAAAAATTTTGTACTTTCAGTTTCAGCACTCATACTTTTAGCCATTATTTTGGCTACAAATATGAAATATGTTATTTTTAAAAGGTTAAGACTGAATAATTTCAGTGTCTTGAACATTGTATGAAAATGGTTTGTGTTAACATTTTAAAGTTTTAAGGGCTTTGAACTTAAAATGAAAAAAATAATTAATGCACCATCTGAAATTTTGGCTGCATGCGGGGGCATCCGTGGCATGATGACACATTTCTAGTTTTACTATAACTTAATACATTATTATACATAATTGATTTTTCTTTCATAGTTTTGTCCTCCTTACTGCATCCAGTATTTATTAGTCGAGCTTCGCTGTCTCCTGTGACAGCTCTTGTTTAATAAGGTTTTTTTCAGATGAGGGTGCTTAAATTTAGTTTTTCTCCAAACTAAGGAAAATAAAAAGAAGCTTAAGTGATAATTAATTATTAAATGGTACTTCAAGTTTATGTTTGGCCTAATGCTGTACCTTTTTTCTGTTATGATATTTAGAAGTTATGTACATGTTTTGTATGTTGATTTGGTTGTGAAGTGCAAACTAACTTACACTGTCCATTACAATATATTTAACATTAATATTTAATAATTATTACTCCCACAAAAAAAATATCGAGATTTAAAGTAATTAATATTTAGAACACAAGATTTAAAATAACTAAGAAGGAAAGAATGGATGGTGAAATGATGCAACAGTGCGGTGTTTTAATGAAGTTTTCAATTATTGTTAGCTTATATTATACTCAAAAAGTGTTCATTTATTATACATGCACATGTTATACTAGGGCCTAAAATATATGTAATATTCTCTGTATCAAGTTAAGATATATGTATATATACTGTATTGCTTCACCTCTAAGAGTCCTTACAGGTGTAAAATACTGTGAATGTAAGCACCTGTTAGTCTCTTCTTTGAATAAAATGAAAGACTGATAACAAAATGTATGTTTCTACATTGTTTCTTCTCATTTCATAACTCCTACCAAAATGTGAAAGGATTATTGTTGCGCAGCCAACAATACATGATGTTCTTTATTACTCCCAATACTGGTTTTTCACTGGAAGAGGTATAGGTTTACCCTTCATTTGTCCATCTGTCATTCGTTCATCTGAAGAAATGTGGATTCAGTGGAAACTCAAAAAGTACCAAAAGTTTGGTTGATAAATACTTATTATCTGGATAAAGGACCATTTCACATGGCATTTTTTTTCCATTATTGTGGTCACTATAGTTAGGGAAATGACAATGACTAAGGAAAGCTAAAAAGAAAAAAACTGGAGATATTGTGATAACTAAATACCATAGAGAACCATATATAGATTGTGCTCGTCTGTTTCCACTGATAAAGTCAAGCTATTATGATTGATGTGTTGTTGTTGTTGTCATCATTGTCGTTGCGCCAAAAACTTTTTATGTAGCCCATTATTCAAACATTTTTAAAGTTATCAACATGAAACTGAATACATGCTGATCATGAAATGGTGCAATTGTAAGATTTCGGTATTAAACAAAGAAATGTGAAAATTTTTTACAGTTGGTTCCCTTCATTTCAAAATTATTTCCATTTCTTAAAAAGGCATGGTTCCTTCCAGTTATGTGCCGATCAGAAAAAAATCAGACAAATTCTTTACACTTAGTTTCCATAAACATGTATACTAGTATGTAGTTCAGACAAACATTATACCTGTATGGGACTACTACAGTGTCTGTGACAAGTAATTCAGTCTAACTAAACATGAATGATAATTGTACATATAATGCTTGCCATGCTTAATTTTTGACCTGGAATTTGAAATACTCTAGCCAGTGCTTAAAAATTGTTGAGTGAGGTTAAACAGAAAACTAATAAATCCGACACTCCTGATACAGTTGGTGTTTTTATTCTCAGATATGATAATTATGGGAGTAAGCTTGGTTGATAAAACTTGTTATCTAGTTAGGGAAATGACAATAACTATTGAAAACTGAAAAAAAACTTAATCCTGCGATAACTTAAACAAAGTAACATAGAGAACCATATACATATTGTGCATGTCATGAGTTCTTCTGTTTCAACTGATAAAGTTGGGCTATTATGATTGCTGTGTTGTTGTTGTTGTTGTTGTTGTTGTCATTAGTGTTGTTTTTCACCTGGAATTTGAAATATTCTAGAATCTGAGCCCAGTGCTAAAAAGTCGTTGACTGAGGTTAAACAGAAAACTAATAAATCAGACACTCCTGATACTGTTGGTGTTTTTAAATCATTAACATGTCTATCAGTTATGATAGTTATGGAAGTGAGTATTTCATCTTAGTTTTAATAAAGAAAAATGAAATAGAAGAAGTAATTAAAAAAAAAATGTTGGTTTTATAAAAATGATAAAACTTCAATCAATGAAGCAACAGATTGGGTAACAGGACAACCTTGTCCCAAGGTGATACACTAAGAGGGTCTTCAGAGCTAAAAATAGAAAAAAGTGTTTATGTGACATTTTATCCTTAACCAGCCGATACATTCTGATTAAACTGTATAGAAACAATCATTGGGTAAAGTAAGGTACAATTGCGACATTTGTACCGGAGTCCTGAATAAAATGGCTGCCAGTGCTAAAAATAGATAAATGTTAGTCTCAAAATAAAGAACAAGTGTGATACAGATTGACTCATTTATATCAATAAGAAAGCACTGGACAGATACTACAATGATTTGTAAAGTAAATAATTTTTTAAAAAGAAAAGAATAATTATTGATTAGATACATATCTATAGCCATACAAATATCCAGTACCTGGGAAGTCAACAGAAAAAAAACACGTACTTGTTCTAAAAGATAACAAAACATGTTTGGTTTTTCTCACCTTTTATTCAACATTTTTTTTGTTTAACATAATTATCACTGTTGATTTTTCTTTAAGTTTGAACTGAAATTAAATGTTTAACAAAATAATGTTGCATTAACCAATTTTTAGGCCACATTAACCAATCTTGGGGATTGATTGACTAATTTTGAATATTGTTTTAGGGCAGGAACCACCAGTTGTGAGGCCTCTACAATGATTTTTTCACAGGTAGGAATATAAATAACCTTTAGACAGCTTTAATACTTAGCAAGATCCTTCATTTGGCATCTGTAATGACTCTTAGAGCTGAGCTGTTTCAACAGTTATATCATTTACTAACCATGTTATTGTTGTGTATTTTGAATAATGTAAAAAGTTGTTAATTTGCAGGCTAGTTGAAAAGTAGAAAGTCTAGTACTAGAGTCTGACTTTTTTTGCCAGTGGTAATTATAGTTATAAAACATTTATCAATAAAAAAAGGTATACAAAAGTAACAATATACATTTCTTTGGTACTTACATGCTAGTACATTGTAATAAACCAGCCATGTAAACTTTTCTGGCTTTCCCTGGAAAACAAGGATACAAACTTATATATTGGAAAATTAAAGACACATTAGATGGCTTGATATTTTTTACTTTCAAGAAAACTTTAGTTAACCTATTTTTACAAGATAGATACATTAAATTGCATGTATAACTACAATATTCATTTCTCCCCAACTGTCCCCTCTTTTTAAAATTACACATGTATTCTTGAAACATTGAGATAATAATAATCTACCCCACAAAGTTTTTAACCTCCTTAAAACCTTTGAGGAGTAGATAATTGTCACCTCTTTATCACCTCTTTTTGCATGTTGAATTTTTGTTAGGTAAGTTGGATTTATTCACAGATATATTGGTAACAATGGCTTATCATATTTAATAAAAACATTATCCCAGCAACTTTCCTAAATATGGTATTATATCTTTGTTTCGTCAAAAGTTACATAATTAGGCTTCTGTTTTTTGCCAGTAATCTCCCCTTTATATAATAGGTATGGCCTGGGACAGAAAGTTACAACTTTAGTCCCAGGTATGGCCTAGCTATTTTAGTAAGGTTGGTACTTTTGTTCTGCTATCAGTACATTCATATACAGTATATATAAAGAGTAAATCTTATAGTCTGACTCTGGTATTAGATTTATTACTGTATGACATTGTTACTGGAAGCTTGTTTCATTAAATATATATATAAATGTATATTCTGCTATGATAAGAAATAAAGATTTTAAAATTGTGTTATTGATTCATTTAAGTTTATTATTTAATATACAAGTTTGGTTGTGAAGAAAGCATGCAGCTGATTGGAGCTACCGTCGTGTTCCCTTCCTGAAGTTAACCATTTAATATCCGCCACTGAAGTTAAACCATTTAATATCCCCCACTGAAGTTAACCACCTGTTATTCCCCACTGAAGTTAACCATTTGTTATCTCCACTGAAGTTAATCACTTATTATTCCCCCACTGAAGTTAACCACTTGTTATCCCCACTGAAGTAAACCACTTGTTATCCCCACTGAAGTAAACCACTTGTTATCCCCACTGAAGTTAACCACTTGTTATCCCCACTGAAGTTAACCACTTGTTATCCCCACTGAAGTAAACCACTTGTTATCCCAACTGAAGTTTACCACTTGTTATCCCCACTGAAGTTTACCACTTGTTATCCCCACTGAAGTTAACTACTTGTTATCCCCACTGAAGTTTACCACTTGTTATCCCCACTGAAGTAAACCACTTGTTATCCCAACTGAAGTTTACCACTTGTTATCCCCACTGAAGTTAACTACTTGTTTATCCCCACTGAATTTAACTACTTGTTATCCCCACTGAATTTAACTACTTGTTATCCCCTATTGAAGTTAACCACTTGTTATCCCCACTGAAGTAAACCACTTGTTATCCCCATTGAAGTTAACCACTTGTTATCCCCATTGAAGTTAACCACTTGTTATCCCCACTGAAGTAAACCACTTGTTATCCCCACAAGAACCAGTACTCTGCATTTCTTGTTTTTTTTAGTTATTGCCCTTTGTTAATTTTCATACTTTATTTTTGTCCGAGCCATTTCTCCTAAAGTATAAAAGCTATGGACTTGAAACTTCATAGGATGATAGATCTCATTAAGAAGAAGTGCAGCTCACAAGAACCAGTACTCTGCATTTCTTATTTTTTGAGTTATTGCCCCATGTAAATTTTTATACTTTATTTTTGTCCATGACATTTCTCCTAAAGTATAAAAGCTATGGACATGAAACTTCATAGGATGATAGATCTCATTAAGAAGAAGTGCAGTGCACAAAAACCGGTACTCTGCATTTCTTTTTTTGAGTTATTGCCCTTTGTTAATTTTCATACATTATTTATGTCCAGGCCATTTCACCTAAAGTATAAAAGTATGGTCTTTAAACTTCATAGGATGATAGATCTCATTAAGAAAAAGTGCAGTGTACAAGAACTGGTACTCTGCGCTTCTTATCTTTGAGTTATTACCCTTTATTTATTTTCATACCCCACTGAAGTAAACCACTTGTTATCCCCATTGAAGTTAACCACTTGTTACTCTACCATCTAGGTTGCACTGGATGTGCATCCAAAGTCAAATTTGATCCAACATGATTTTCTTTGGACAGATTATATAGTCTATTATATGATAAATTTGAGTTTGACTATGGGGAAGGGGACCAGAATTCAGATGCATATTCTAGTTGTGGCTATTCCGTGGCCTAAGTTAAGGGATTCTGTGTAAATTATTTTTACTAATGATTTATGTGTCAATATTTACGGATTTACATAATTTGGTATGTGACAGAATTATTATCCCAAAGGACCCAAGATGACAAAGATATTTTAGCAGTTCGTGCTCACTTTATATTTTGACAACAACAACAACAAAAATGTTGCGACTGAAGTTTAAGCCGATTTCATGGTCTAGAGTCGTTTACAAAATAAGAAAATCCGTTACAGAAAAGACATATAGTACAATAGCGGTACTCACATTTGCTTTTTAGATACTTTTCTTTATCTAGTTCTTCACTTTCACGGTTTTCATATTATGTCTAGTAATCGGATAGTTACGGTATCTGGACGTTTCACCCTCAAAACCCTGGTCTTTTCGGTACCTTTTTTAAATTTGATAGATGTAAAGTAAATACAGTGGCAAGTTATGAGTTATAATATTATATACAACTCATACTTGCAAAGACATTATATTTTTGTTATAAAGAAGATTTTTTTTGTCTCAAGGTGATTCCGCTGTGTCAGCCATGTTTGTTTTTCACTAAGTGGGTCCAAAGTGAAAGTAGGCCAAAATTCATATAACAATAAAGCTCACAGTGTAAAATGATAAACCATTTGAAAGTATACTTCCAGGTCTAATATTGTTGTAATTCAGCTTTGTCAGCCATGTTTGTTTGTTTTTTTTGTCCAAAGTGAAAGTAGGCCAAAATTCATATAATAACAACAAAGCTCACAATGTAAAATGATGAACCATTTGAAAGTACACTTCCATGTCTCTGTTTTAACCCTTTCCCACATGAGCATATTGTGAAAAATGGCCGTTTTCAGTGAAAAGCCTCCTGTTACAAGTTCAAACTGCTATGAAACTAAGAAAAATGCTTCAATACTAATCAAACTTGGCACAAATGTTGACTGGACCATTGCCTTTGTAAGGACATGCTCAGTCTTAAATTTCCTGTTACCATGGCAACGAGGGGACATCTCAAAATTGCCAAAAATCACTATTTTGCCTCGATTTTTTCCATCAAAATTTATTTCAAAGTGCTGCAACTTCTCAAGGGATTGAGATAGAGTCAAAGGCTTTTCAGCGTTGGTTACACGTTACCTTATGATCGACCTGGGGTCATTTTCAGACTCTTACAAGTCCAAAATTTTCTTGGTGATGAGGGGGACTCTGTCCCCTTCAAACCCCCTGATGTATCTTCTGGATGGGGGATGGCGCTGAAAAAGTGAGCACTTTTTTTAGCAACATTTATCAAACGAAAACATGTGTTTGGGGCCCAAATAGGACATTTTTTCACTATTTCAGGCCTAAAAAAGGGGGGGGGGGGGTCGAAAGTGTGTTGTTTCGCGTATATATGAGGTAAAGGGTTAATGACTATTATAAACAAAAATAAAAATGATAACAATAAGAATATGTACCTTGAATTTCTGAAGACCAAGTACAATTTGTGCACATTTCATGAATGGCAAAATCGCCTTAAATACAAATATCCTGGCTACTTATGTTTTATACATGTGAAATTTTTTCAATGTTCAAGAGGAAGAATTAGCTTCAAAAAGAGGGAGATTTTTTAATGGATAATAGACGTAGAAGGAATTTTTGAAATGAAAAAGAGGGATATCTTATTAGCTCACCTGTCACAAAGTGACAGGGTGAGCTTTTGTGATCGCTTTTCGTCCGGCGTCCGTCCGTCGTCCGTCCGTCCGTCGTCCGTCCGTCCGTAACTTTTACTTTAAATGACATCTCCTCATAAACCACTAAGCCAATTTCATCCAAACTTCACAGGAATGTTCCTTTGGTGGTCACCTTTAAAAATTGTTCAAAGAATTTAATTCCATGCAGAACTCTGGTTGCCATGGCAACCGAAGGAAAAAACTTTAAATATCTTCTTTTAAAAATTCATAAGAGCTAGAGCTTAGATATTTGGCATGAAACATCTTCTAGTGAGTGTCTACCAAGTTTGTTCAAATAAAAGCCCTGGGGTCAAAATTGGCCCCGCCCCGGGGGGTCATTGATTTTCCCTATATGCATATAGTAAAAACTTAAAAAATCTTCTTTGAAAGAACCCAAAGAGCTAGAGCTAAGATATTTAGCATGAAATATGTTCTAATGGGTGTCTACCAAGTTTGTTCAAATAAAAGCCCTGGGGTAAAAATTGGCCCCGCCCCGGGGGGTCATTGATTTTCCCTATATGCATATAGTAAAAACTTAAAAAATCTTCTTTTAAAGAACCCAAAGAGCTAGAGCTAAGATATTAAGCATGGAACATGTTCTAATGGGTGTCTACCAAGTTTGTTCAAATAAAAGCCCTGGGGTCAAAATTAGCCCGGCCCCGGGGGGTCATTGATTTTCCCTATATGCATATAGTAAAAACTTAAAAAATCTTCTTTTAAAGAACTGAAAGAGCTATGGCTAAGATATTGAGCATCAAACATGTTCTAATAGGTGTCTACCAAGTTTGTTCAAATAAAAGCCCTGGGGTCAAAATTGGCCCCGCCCCAGGGGGTCATTGATTTTCCCTATATGCATATAGTAAAAACTTACAAAATCTTCTTTTAAAGAACCAAAACAGTTAGAGCTAAGATATTTAGCATAAAACATGTTCTAATAAGTGTCTACCAAGTTTGTTCAAATAAAAGCCCTGGGGTCAAAATTGGCCCCGCCCCGGGGGGTCATTGATTTTCCCTATATGCATATAGTAAAAACTTAAAAAATCTTCTTTTAAAGAACTCAGAGAGCTATGGCTAAGATATTGAGCATCAAACATGTTCTAATAGGTGTCTACCAAGTTTGTTCAAATGAAAGCTCTGGGGTCAAAATTGGCACCTCCCTGGGGGTCATTGATTTTCCTTATATGTTTATAGCAAAAACTTAAAAAATCTTCTTTGAAAAAACCCAAATAGCTAGAGTTAAGATATTAAGCATGAAACATCTTTTAGTGAGTGTCTACAAAGTTTGTTCAAATAAAAGACCTGGGGTCAAAATTGGCCCCGCCCCTGGGGGTCATTGATTTTCTTTATATGTGTATAGCAAAAACTTAAAATCTTCTTTGAAAAATTCCAAATAGCTAGAGTTTAGATATTAAGCATGAAACATCTTCTAGTAAGTGTCTACAAAGTTTGTTCAAATAAAAGCCCTGGCCCGGCCCCAGGGGTGTCATTGTTTTTAACTATATGTGTATAGTAAAAACTTAAAAAAAATCTTCTTTTAAAAAGCCCAATGAGCTAGAGCTTAGATGTTTAGCATGAAACATCTTCTTATGGATGTCTACCAAGTTTGTGCAAATAAAAGCCCTTGGGTTAAATTGGCCCTGCAACGTTGGGGGGGTGGGGGTTGGGGGCCTATATACAGGTGAGCGACCTCAGGGCCATCATGGCCCTCTTGTTTTTTTAAAAACTTGTTCTAAGAACAAATTCAATATTTAAAAATTTTACAGGAGAAAGAGGGAGTCTCTCGCTTAAATAGGGAGAGTTCACATGTATGAATACAGTACATTATTGGAAACTTCCCAGTGAAAATAATTATTAATGGTGGGATAGTTTATATCATGGAGCTATATGTCTGTGTTTATATGTGTTAGAATTATTGGCTATATATATCTACATGTATATTTGCATAAATATATTTGTATTATAAAATTTTAAAATAGCTCATTTAAATTATAAAAGGATATTGTTTATAATATTTTGTTATAATTATAAGAACAGGTTAGGGATCATTAGGTAAAAGAAGTGTGAAAGTTGTATAATGCTTATATCTTTATCTATATATATATTTATTAGCACCAGTCAGGGCTACAGATAACATTTTGTATATATTGGGTGATTACCCCTTGTTTTGTGATCTATTGGGTTTTTTCTATTTTCTTAAAGTTATTTCTGTATTTTTTACCCTACCCTCTCTAACCAATTTGGGTTTTAAAGCACGAGTTTATGTATTTTACCCCAAATTTCTGACCTTCATTGTAGACTGTTGTAGGTTTTGTATGGCAATAAAAAGCTACTAGCTACTTTGCTTTATGGTTTATTGGCCTAGGAGATTTCTAAGCTGCCTGATATAATTGAAAGGTTAAAACTGTCTGAAACAGTATGATCTGCCTAATGTACGGCGTTCAAGTATAATTTATGTCATTACGCACCAGTACAAATGTACTAAGAATTTATTTACTTTTTCTTACCCTTAGTTATTATTTCTATTGTGTTTTTTGAAATTTTAATTGGGTAATTACCTAAATACCCATGTTATTTGCAGCCCTGGCATCTTTATAAAGGTGTTACTCATACTCTTAGCAAGTAGTGAAATTTGTTGAGGAATGTATCCAGAAGGACTGGGAACGATATGCCAATGGTGAAATTGACAGTGCTATGAAAGTCTTACATACTATTTAACATTTGTATGGAACTGCTGAGTATTCCATTTAAACTATTAATAAAAATCTATTAAAATAAAAAATCATACATTTGTGCATATTTTTATCCCCCGCCGAAAATTTTCGGCGGAGGATATAGAAATAGTCTCCGTCCGTCCGACCTTCCGTCCTTCCGTCCGTCCATCCGTCCGTCCTTCCGTCCGACATTTTTGTCCGGAGCATATCTCTAAAAGTATTTGAGTTATCAACTTGAAACTTCATAGGTGGATAGACCTCATTGAGGAGGAGTGCAGTGCACAAGAATGATAACTCTACCTTGCATGATTTTTGAGTTATTGCCCTTTGTTATTTTTCAAAATTGATTTTTGTCCAGAGCATAACTCCAAAAGCCTATGAGATATTAACATGAAACTTCATAGGTGCATAGATCTCACTCAGGAGGTGTGCAGTGCACAAGAATGATAACTCTACCTTTCATAATTTTTGAGTTATTGCCCTTTGTTATTTTTCATACCTAATTTTTCACCTGAGTGGAGCATAACTCAAAAAGTGTTTGAGATATCAACATGAAATGTCATAGGTGGATAGATCTTATTGAGGAGGAATGTTGTGCGCAAGAATGATAACTCTTCCCTATACAATTTTTGAGTTATTGCCCTTTGTTTTTTTTCATGCTATTTTGTCCAGAGCTTATCTCAAAAAGTATTTGAGGTATCAACTTGAAACTTCAAAGGTGGATGGATCTCATTGAGGAGGAGTGCAGTGCTTAAGAATGATAACTCTAACCTGCATTATTTTTGAGTTATTGCCCTTTGTTATTTTTCAAAATTAATTTTTGTCCAGAGCATAACTCAAAAAGCCTTTGAGATATCAAAATGAAACTTCATAGGTGCATAGATCTCACTCAGGAGGTGTGCACTGCACAAGAATGATAACTCTACCTTTTATAATTTTTGAGTTATTGCCCTTTGTTCTTTTTCATACTTAATTTTTCAATTCAATTTTTTTTCTCAAAAAGTATTTGAGGTATCAACTTGAAACTTCATAGGTGGATAGATTTTACTGAGGAGGGATGCAGCACACAAGAATGATAACCTACCCTGCATTATTTTTCAGTAATTGCCCTTTGTTATTTTCAGCCATCAGTATTCACATAGGTTTCAAATCTGTAATCACTATAGCCATCAGTTTTCATTACCAAAAGACCTCTTAAAATGGAATTATTCCGCTCTACTTCATATACGTTCTTCCAATGAGCAAACACATTCGGCGGGGGATGGCCATGTTGACATGGCTCTTGTTGGCATTTTTTATTACAACAAAAATGTCATATTTTAATATTAGTAATTACAAAATTATGACTCAAAAATATGTTTTCAAAAAAATGGCTGTTTTCATTGAAAAGCCTCCTGTTACAAGTTCAAACTGCTATGAAACTGTATAAAAATACTTCAATACTGATCAAACTTGGCACAAATGTTGACTGGACCATTGCCTTTGTACCAGCATGCTCAGTCTTAAATTTCCTGTTACCATGGCAACGGGGGACATTTCAAAATTGCCAAAAATCATATTTTTGCATTGATTTTTTCATCAAAAGTGATCTCAAAGTGCTGCAACTTCTCAATGGATTGAGATATAGTCAAAAGCTTTTCAGCATTGGTTACGTTAAGATTAACCTTTAGCCATTTTTTAGCCTCTCACAAGTTCAAAATTTTCTTGGTGATGAGGGGGCTGCTGACCCCCTTCAGTAAATTTGATACTTTTATTTCTGATATATGACCACAAGCCAATACACATATACAGAATATACATTCAAATGATACATTAATTATGAAAATATTTTCTTTTTTAGTTAAATCAAGTTGATGTCAGTAAGTTACATGGACGAGTTGAGTTGCGTGTACCTTCTATCAGCTGTCTGGACAAATGTAGAAGATATTTTTCCTCTGATGTACTGTAAGTACTTTGAAGCATATTGTTCAGAATAAATAGTCAGATATGAGGCAGGTTTTAAATTCTTTATATATTCAAAAATGAGTTGTTAAGCTGAAAAGATCTAGATATTATTTCACAGAAATTAATCAAATGATTCTTGGGTGATCATCTACCAACATTGTTCAAATGATAAAAAAAAGAAGAAAAAAAGATGGGGAGGCATATAGTTTTTGAATATCCATCCTTCTATCATTCCGCCTTTTGTGTTTAGTCCATTGTTAATTATGTATGGATGTTTAAATAATTTTACATACATGTGGAGTACATTTAGACAATGTATTGTGCTAAAGATCCAGGTCTCTAGCTCAAAGGTTAAGGTTATACTTTTAACATCATAAGAAATATTTTATATAAGTTCATTGATGTTCATGTCCAGTCACCAAATTTGTCATTTGTTTGAAAATTTTTATGCATTAATGTGTTGGACATGATGAGTATGTACCATGCATAAGAATTAGATCTCTAACTCTTAGGTCAAGATCACAATTATATGTCAAAAGTCATAATAGTAATGGAAATAAGTAGTAAAGGTACACTGATGGCTGTACTCTGTAAACCCCCATCCCAATGCTCAATGAAAGTTATATACATTTTGCATGGCCCATAATACTGGAGTGGAATTTGAAGAAAATATGTAAGTCCTTTGTGAAATTTATCCAATAGAAATCTTTCATACCAAACATCTCTGAGTGTTTCAATGTTTTAGTAAATTTGATATCATTTACTAAGAAGTTCATCAATTTTAAGCAAGTTAGTTTCTTCAAATTTGATTTATTTCATCACACAAGACTAGATCAGCAAGGCTATACCCTTCATTTATTTCAATATATTATTACAGTTACTATATTATTTTCAGGTTAAGTGAATCAGAGTATGAAGTATTAGCAGATGAGACTCTTGACTCACTAACTGAAATGTTTGAAGATTTACCTGACAAGTTTGAATTGGATCCAGATTATGATGTAACTTTCAATGTAAGTACAAAGGTATTTTGAATTTGTCCGAGGACTTACTTAAATTGTTTTATTACCTGATACCTTATATAAATGTAATTTGGTATTTTTTTACTGTTTTCTGAAATTCTAAGGCAAACTGGTGACAGGTCAATAGTTTTGACTGTTTCCCTCGCATGCTCTGACATCATAAAGGATTCCCCCTTGAAGCATACATTGATCTTGATCATAAACCAGATGTGATGTGACATAGTTAAAAGATTGATAATTGAGAAATTTTAATAATTAACATATTTGCAAAACTATTTTCTTGTTCCTTTTTAGCTCACCTGTCACAAAGTGACAGGGTGAGCTTTTGTGATCGCTTTTCGTCCGTCGTCCGTCCGTCGTCCGTCCGTAAACTTTTACTTTAAATGACATCTCCTCATAAACCACTAAGCCAATTTCATCCAAACTTCACAGGAATGTTCCTTTGGTGGTCACCTTTAAAAATTGTTCAAAGAATTTAATTCCATGCAGAACTCTGGTTGCCATGGCAACCAAAAGAAAAAACTTTAAATATCTTCTTTTAAAAAACCGAAAGAGCTAGAGCTTAGATATTTATCATGAAACATCTTCTAGTGAGTGTCTACCAAGATTGTTCAAATAAAAGCCCTGGGGTCAAAATTGGCCCCGCCCCAGGGGGTCATTGATTTTCCCTATATGTATATAGTAAAAACTTAAAAAATCTTCTTTTAAAGAACTCAAAGAGCTGGAGCTAAGATATTTAGCATGAAACATGTTCTAATGGGTGTCTACCAAGTTTGTTCAAATAAAAGCCCTGGGGTCAAAATTGGCCCCGCCCCAGGGGGTCATTGATTTTCCCTATATGCATATAGTAAAAACTTAAAAAATCTCCTTTTAAAGAACCCGAAGAGCTTGAGCTTAGATATTTGGCATGAAACATCTTCTAGTGAGTGTCTACCAAGATTGTTCAAATAAAAGCCCTGGGTTCAAAATTGGCCCCGCCCCAGGGTGTCATTGATTTTCCCTATATGCATATAGTAAAAACTTAAAAAATCTTGAAAGAACCCAAAGAGCAAGAGCTAAGATATTTAGCATGAAACATCTTCTAATGAGTGTCTACCAAGTTTGTTCAAATAAAAGCCCTGGGGTCAAAATTGGCTTGCCCCAGGGGGTCATTGATTTTCCCATTATGCATATAGTAAAAATTTAAAAATCAGTTTTAAAGAACTCATGGAGCTAGAGCTTAGATATTTAGCATGAAACATGTTCTAATGGTTGTCTACCAAGTTTGTTCAAATAAAAGCCCTGGGGTCAAAATTGCCCTGCCCCAGGGGGTCATTGATTTTCCCTATATGTATATAGTAAAAACTTAAAAAATCTTCTTTTAAAGAACCAAAAGAGCTAGAGCTTAGATATTTAGCATGAAACATGTTTTAATGGGTGTCTACCAAGTTTGTTCAAATAAAAGCCCTGGGGTCAAAATTGGCTCCGCCTCAGGGGGTCATTGATTTTCCCTATATGTATATAGTAAAACTTAAAAAATCTTCTTTTAAAGAACTCAAAGAGCTAGAGCTAAGATATTTAGCATGAAACATGTTCTAATGGGTGTCTACCAAGTTTGTTCAAATAAAAGCCCTGGGGTCAAAATTGGCCCCGCCCCAGGGGGTCATTGATTTTCCCGATATGTATATAGTAAAAACTTAAAAAAATCTTCTTTTAAAGAACTCAAAGAGCTAGAGCTAAGATATTTAGCATGAAGCATGTTCTAATGGGTGTCTACCAAGTTTGTTCAAATAAAAGCCTTGGGGTCAAAATTGGCCCCGCCCCAGGGGGTCATTGATTTTCCCTATATGTACATGTATATAGTAAAAACTTAAAAAATCTTCTTTTAAAGAACTCAAAGAGCTAGAGCTAAGATATTTAGCATGAAACATGTTCTAATGGGTGTCTACCAAGTTTGTTCAAATAAGAGCCCTGGGGTCAAAATTGGCCCTGCCCCGGGGGTCATTGATTTTCCTTATATATGTGTATATCAAAAACGTAAAAAGTATTCTTTGAAAAAACCTAAATAGCTTGAGTTAAGATATTAAGCATGAAACATCTTCTAGTGAGTGTCTACAAAGTTTGTTCAAATAAAAGCCCTGGGGTCAAAATTGGCCCTGCCCTGGGGGTCATTGATTTTCCTTATATGTGTATAGGAAAAACTTAAAAAACATCTTTGAAAAAACCCAAATAGCTAGAGTTTAGATATTAAGCATGAAACATGTTCTAGTAAGTGTCTACAAAGTTTGTTCAAATAAAAGCCCTGGGGTCAAAACTGGCCCTGCCCCAGGGGTGTCATTGTTTTTAACTATATGTGTATAGTAAAAACTTAAAAAATCTTCTTTAAAAAAACACAATGAGCTACAGCTTAGATGTTTAGCATGAAACATCTTCTTATGGGTGTCTACCAAGTTTGTTCAAATAAAAGCCCTTGATTAAAATTGGCCCTGCCGGGGGTAGGGGAGGGCAGATCATTGTTTTTCATTTAAAGTGTGTACATCATGAAATGTCTTCTTATAGGTGTCTTCCAAGTTTGTTCAAATAAAAGCCCTGGGGTTTAAACTGGCCCCGCTCCGGGGGCCTACATACAGGTGAGCGACCTTAGGGCCATCATGGCCCTCTTGTTTCTTCTGCAAGTACATGTACTGTTAAAACATTAATTGATCAGGTAATAAAACAGTTATTTCATTTGTGATTTGGGAACAGTCAAAAAGTTGTCCCTCAGTGTCAGGGAGAGTGTTTTGAACTGTTGCCCAGTTGAACAGTTAAAAAACTATCCCCTCCACCTCGGGCCAACAGTGTGACTGTTCCCAAATCACATATGAAATAACTGTATACTGTTAAATTTGGCGTAACCCCCCCCCCCCCCCCCTCAAGAAAAATAGGTAATCTTTAACAGGCTTTGCAGATGTTCCTGAACAACAATCAGTAAATTATATTTCAAACCTTTCAGGTTAATATTTTTTTTTCCATCAATACACTCGGACAGTGTGTCATATTCAATGATACTGCTTAAAGGACTTTAATGAAAATTTCATAATTTATTAGTAATGAAATAATATGTATGATTACATTCTTACTTGTATATATAAATATGTATGTGTTTTTGCTTTCAGAGTGGTGTTTTAACAGTGAAAATCGGCGGTAACTGGGGAACATATGTTATCAACAAACAGACTCCAAACAAACAGATATGGTTCTCTTCTCCTATTAGGTCATCATTCTATAATTTTCTTCCATTTTGGTTTTAGTTTTTCAAAGAATAATTTCTAGCTCTTGTTACAGGCAGATTATCATTCCTGTTGCCCTCCAGAAACTTTAACATCAGCCATTATCTTTTATTTCTTAATGGAATGTCTTAATACTTTGATACAACAACTCTTTGGACAAGATCTTCAAGTAGTCCAGATTGAACTTGACCTTGATCTATAAATAACCTTGAAGGTCAAATTATTGTTCATGTAATTGACCAAGTTTTTACATAAATTGGCTATAACTTTGTACTTGATGCATGGATTGTCTTCATACTTGTGCACAACAGTCCTTGGGACAAGGCATTAAAGAAGATTTAATTAACTATAATTGGCTTTAACTGTTATCTTTGAATGGATTGTCCCCACACGAAGATACAAAAATCCTTTTGACAAGACCTTCAAGTAGACCAAATAGATTATGACCTTTACTCGTCAATGACCTTAAAGGTCAAGTTACTGAATTTTGCTTGATTTTTGCTATAATTGGCTATAACTTTGTTATTTTTTTAAATGGATTGTCTTCATACTGGTACACACCTTCATTAAGTACAATGTTCTAAAGAAGATCAATCTCAGTTTTACATTGACTCATAATTGACCTTGTCCATGAAGGTCAAACTATTTTTATTGTACTGTTTATTGCTAAAATTATCTATAATTCTGTAAGTATTGAATGGATTCTCTTCATACTTGGGCTAAACATTGGGACAAGACATTACAGAAAATTTATTTGAACTTGACCTTTATTGGACCTTGGCACTAAAGGTCAAATATGTGAATTTAGCTACTATTGGCCATATCTTTGTTATTTATGGATTTGATATGTAATTATGCTAAATTACACTTATAACAAAAATGGCATGTTAAGATATTCAAAGATGAAATTGACCAGTAAAGACTTTGATTGTCAAGGTAAAATATTGAATTTAGCTTTGATTGTCATAGCTTGTTATTTATTTACAGATATAATTTATACTTAGACAAAAGACCCCTTATGACAAAACATGTAACATGGGCGCCTCTGGCGGATTGGTCAAGGTTTTTACTTCAAACCACTTGCCACTCACTGCTGTGGGTTCGAATCCCGATCAGGACTTCTTTCATGTGAGGAAGCTATCCAGCTAGTGTACAGAACGTTGTAGGTTCTACTCAGGTGCCAGTTTGATCCTGTAAAAATAATGCTGGAAAGTTGCCATATGACCTATATTGTTACTGTGAAGTTAAACCAATTGAATATGTGGGGGGGGGGGGGGGGGGTTCAGCAGAATTCAGGTCAAAGTTTTTTAGTCTTAAACAAGTATTTGTTCAAAATTATGATCTTTATATGGTGTGTGTGGCAGCTGTAAACATTGCACTGTACTTCACTTGTGTTGTTATATTTTTTCTGGTCCTTCTTCTCGATATTTAAATCAAGCACAATAAGTGCTGTAAATTGAGTACAACTCAACCTGGTACTAGGGGGCATCAGGGATGTTGCACTTTTTCAGTATCCTCATGTACAGACTCAGTCAAACCAAATCTGCAATTTTCCTGTATTTCTGTTGCTTATAATGCTTCTGAGGGATCACCCTTTTTCCAGATTAGTATTTTTACTGTGTTAGTGAAAAGATTTTGCATATTATCAGGGAGAGATTGTTATGGGACTTGTATGGTTAAATGACCATTTAATTACTAACACTTTCAGAGCTAGGAAAATATTCTGTGAATAAATTATCAGTTGGTTTATTAATGTCTTTGTCCAATACTATTCTTGATGCATTTATATGTCCAATTTATTATCAATTAAGAAATAAATTACTTGAGTGTTTTTTGTTTTTTTTTAAGTTTTTTAGGCTTTGGTTCAAGTTTAAACCCTGGCCAGCCTGCATTTCCATTCCAGTCTAGTTAAGTATTGTAATATCTGGGTCACTTTAATTAATGATATAATGCTAATTGCTTTAGTCAGTGATTTCAATGTTTTTTTTGTTGTTTTCAGCGGCCCAAAGAGATACGACTTTGTAGAAGGGATATGGTTGTATAATCATGATGGCAGTAAACTTCATGATCTACTAAATGAGGAAATCTCACAAGCTATAAACCATCATATAGACTTCACAATCTGCTCTTATGGAAAAAGATAGATGCCTTATTTTCTTACCTGTTTAATTGGTGTCATATTTTTAATAAATTGTTCATTTTCATTTGACATGCTGTACATGTTTCCTAGTTTTAAGCTTATATTTGAATATTTTGTATGAAAGTACAAGATTGCCAAAGGTTTATTTAATATTTTACAAGTAGAATTGCATAGTGGACGTCTACAAAAATTATTGATAAAAATTGGTAAAAAATCCGGTTTCCAGCACATTTGGACCTAAGACTTACCCAAAATTTAATCATGTTTTTTTAAAATTGTCAAACCACAAACCGGCATCTAAAAGTTGCCCAGGAGCAATAGAGATTTGATAACACCTTAAAGTGCGTAGAATGGGTTGATATTGGTCTGGCCCCAGGCGGTCAGTTAGTGTATTATAAAAACTTACAATTTGAGTTTGAATTGTGAAAAATTGCATTGCTCAGAAGTTTATATAAATTATGACATCTGAGGGTTCATTCTCCTAAAATAAGGTACCATTAGTACACACAATTGTCTACAACCAGCAATTTAAGAACATCATTTACATTAATATTTTTTGTATACATTTAAACGGTTCCAACCTGGGAAGTAAGTAAATTTATTTAAAACCCTTTTTTTTAAAAACATTTCCTATAACTGTCCCTTTTTTGGGAAAGGATGGTATTTGGCTTTAAATTTTATGTCTGTTTACAAAAAGTTAATTTTTATTTTTTTTGTATTGTTTTAAGACCTTGGTGATAGTTTAACAATTAGGATTTGTATTTATGATGCGGATTGTTTAAAAATTTCTCTCTTAAATTTTTTAAATTTCACATGTGCATTTGGTTGACCCGGCTCCCTTACATGCACTGGGACATGTTTAAACGACCTCTCTACAGCCTTTACAAAACTGTGCATGTTTCTCCGGCTTGGACACCCGTGACTGCACATTCACCAAAATCGGCTCGGAAAAGCCTAAAAAACCCGTACTAAGCAACTGAAAAAGGTTGGTTTCTAAAATTTTTCCCTTTCGGACTATGCATTATCATCATTTCTTAAAAAAGTATCTTTAAATACTAAATATCTAAATTTGAGGTATAACATTTAAACATTTATATCTCATTTAAATACTTTAATTCTTCAAGTAATTTTTTTGTCCAGTTTTTTTGGGACATTTTTTCCAAAAATATAACTTTTTATCAATTGTAGGACTCTGTTTTTATTTCAAGGTCTTATAGTCTGTGTTGTAGACAATCTTAAATTTTATTGATACATCGTTTGCACCTTGACATTCTTAATGTGTTTGTTATTTAAATAAATTATTTTAACTGTTTATTGATGGTGTAATCATTTGTGCTAAACTACATCTGTGTCCAGTCGGTGACATTTAAATTTTTAGTCACCGCAATTCATCAACAATAAAAAGACTGTCTGAATTTCATCAGTCTACATCTCTAGAGATTATAAACAACACAGAGAACAACATTAAAATATCAGCCATCAGGGGTTCCGCAAAACCCAAACCTTCTCACAAATTTAGATTTCAGCCGCCCCTTTTGAGGCGAGCAATAACCCTCCAAAAATTTCTTTTAAATATTTATAAAGTCACAAAAAGCCAAATTAGACAACTAACAAAACAAGCAACACTCCTGTGCTTATGCATCAACCAGTATCACAGTCAAGGCATAATACGGCTTTCCTTTTAAGACCTATACAAATTTATTGTTGTGGGTCAAAACTGACCCCCCAACTTCCGGGGGCCATGTTCACTAAACTTTAAGAATCCAGAATAAATGACGGAAGATTGAAATCTTTAAAAGGATTTTCCAAATTGGTTTCTTTTTCCTTTTTTTTTCTGGTCTCGTAGAACTATATTCTATAAATTAAGTGGAATTGAAAAAGCGATGGGTTATGAAATTCTTAAAAAAAAAAATTAATGGGCCAGGGTAACCCGTTTGATTTAAAAAGTTTCCCTTATTTCTTTAACCCAAAAATTGAAGCCTTTTTATGATTAAAAATTTTTTCCCTTTTTTATTCCTAAATTTTTATCCAAATAAAAGGTTTTTTTTTTTGTGAAAACCCCAAAATTTTTTCCTTGACTTTTTTCAAAAAAATGTTACAGTCATGTTTTGGGGGTTCCGTTGCCGGGCCCCCATGAATTTTTTAATTTTTGTGTTTGTCTTCTTCTTCAGGGCCCCAAAAAAATCCTTGGGACAAGACCTTCAAGTAGACCAAAGGGCAAAAAGTTAATTCGCTTTAATTTTTGCTATTTAAAAAGGGTATAAATTTTTTTTGTAATGGAAATTTTTTTCAAAATTGAACAAATAATCTTTTAGGATAGATCTTTAAGTTTATCAGACAGACCTTGACCTTCACTCATAAATGACTTTGAAGGTCAAACTTGAAATTTTCGTTTTTCATTTTTGTTTGGTGTAACTAGCTATAACTTTAAACATTATTAGTGTATGGATTGACTTTATATTATAATAGATCATTCTTTAGGATAAGACTTCATGTATATAGAACTCAAATTGACCTTGGCTCTTTTATGACCTTTACCTTGAAGGGTAAGTTATTAAATTTTCACTGATTTTTGCTATAATTGACTGTAACTTGGTAATTAATAAATGGATTATCTTCATACTTTGGCAAAACAACATTTTGGAGAATATCTTCTAAATGGTTGAACTGATCTTGACCTTGAGTTGAAAATGACCTTGACCGTCAAGGTCAAATTATTGAAGTTTGGTTAAATTGTCATGATTTTGTTGTAAATGTACTGGCTTAAAAAACAACACCTGCTAGAAAAATTAAGATGTGCCTTTCACCTAAAATTGACCTTGACTGTCAAATTAATGAAATTCTCTTGTTTTTATCTGTAACTGACAACTTTGTTATTTATAAATGGATTAACTTTATATTAAGGCACTTAATAGTTTAGGTCATGATTTTAATGTGTATCCAACTCAAATTTACATTGACTCATGTATGACCATGATATTGAATGTCATTTTTTTTTTTAATTTTCACTAAAATTCGCTATAATTGGCTGAAATTTTGTAATTAGTCAATGTTTTCATACTTGGACACAACAACCTTTTGGAAAAGATATTTTAAAGGGTTGAAATGACCTTGATCTTGAGGTTTAAATGACCTTTAATGTCAAGCTCAAAGTACTGAATTTTGGTTAAGTTGACATAATTGTTTTTTATTTATGTACGGATTTATTCATTTGTGAACAAAACAACACTTGTGAGCAAGTTGGCATGTGGAATAATTAAGATATGAACCAGACCTTTAAATGACATTGACCTTCAAATGATTGAATTTTTATTATATTTTCTAAACTTTGTCATTTATTTATGGAAAGGATTAATACTTGGGCAAAAAAAGTGTGACAAGATAGACCTATTAAAATTGAAGAAAAAACGAAAAAACTTTTTTTCTTTAATTTCTTTTTAATGATTTGTTTAAACCGTTCATTTGTTTGCTTTTTTTAAAAGTTAAAAAGTCGAGCGTTGCCCCCGCCCGGCGGTGACTCTTGTTTAATGTTTAAACCTTTTATTTGTTTGCTTTTAGAAAAAGTAAAAAAAGTCGAGCCTGCCCGATAGTGGCTCTTGTTCCATTTGTTTATGTGCCGTTTAAGACAGATTACACCAAACATACATGGTTCTTAGGATGTGTGACCTTAACATGGCGTGTGCATGCTAGCGAAGAACCTGCCACGGGTGTGTTAGGGTGAGAATAGGGAGGATTTAGATAAGTAATGACGTATCTCTTATATCAACTTTAATTTTATTCCAGGCTGAAAAAAAGTTAACATAAACAATTCAAAATTGCAACTTATCAAGATGTATTTAAGCTCTATCATTGGTGAATTGATTGCAACGAAAATCGAGCTTAACATGTGTTTTTCATATAATATACCTACATATGTGTATGACAGGGTGAAAAAAATGTGCAGCCTGACCGGATCTATCAGAATACCGACTGAACTATATGTGGATATTCTTTGTTTAAAAAAAAAATAAAACTGAAAAAAATATTCGCCTCTGAAATCACAAAGGCTAGAGCTTAGATATTTGGAACGAAACATTGTCAAGTGGACTTCTTCGAAATTTGTTCTAATTTTAGCTCTGATGTCAAAATTGGTCCCACCCCAGGGGTTCATGACATTCTCCACAAAAACTGCAAGAGCTAGAGCTTAGACAATTGTTATGAGGCATTGTCTAGTGGCATTCTACCACGTCTAAAAAAAATTAAGTTCTCTGGTCAAAATTGGCTCGCCCCAAGGATTATGGGTTTTTCTTATATGGCAATAGTAAACACTTAAAAATTTCTTTTCTGAAACCACAAATGCTAGGGCTTAGATATTTGGCACGATTTTTTTCTTCAAATGATAGCTGTAGGGTCAAAATTGGTCCCGCCCTGGTGGTCTTGAGGTTTCCTCATATGTATAGAGTAAAAACTTAAAAAAAGAAACCTCAAAAACTACAAAGGCTAGATCTGAGACATTGGTTAGTAACATTGTCTTGTAGGTTACTTTGTTTGTTCAAATCATAATCCAAAGGTCAAAATTGGCACCTCCCCGGGGGTCATATGTTTTCCTTACATACATATATCCGGAACACAACAACTTTCTTTCCTTGTTAACTTCTACAAAAGATTTATATATATGACATGTTCCTGCGGTCAAAACTGGCCCGCTCTAGGGATGATTACCTTATAAGTATAGAAAAACACACTTATATTTCAAGCTTTGAGCTTAATTATTTGGCATGTATCATTTCCTTGTGTTACTATAAAAGATAAATCGCCCCATTAAAGCAAAAAGGTACCAAGTGACATTTTCATGTTATCGAGAAAATCGCGTTTAAAGATTGGAAAGTTCCATATCAAATCAGATTTTTACAACCTAGCAAAGCAACTTCACATATATTTAGATAATATTTGAATGTACATGCTCAAAAAGTTTGAAAGCTTATTTATTACTAATTAGTGATATATAATAAATTAAAGGAAATGGTTCCTTTTTGCACTAATATATATTTTGACCGACAAATGCAAGAAGGTACCATATGATCGCTTGG